GGCTTCTCTATCCCCTTTCCACCCTATATGGTATGATAACGTGGTGATGGCTGTTGATCCTTCCCAGAACAGATACTCGGCAGGGTCAGCAAGGCTCCTGCCTGAAAAAAGAAATGATCTGCCCCCTCCTACCCTCGCCCCAGGAAAAAGAAAAGTTTTAATAGACTTTTCTAATCATAACTTATTTTCATGAGATCTCGTTGACTCATATTACAGTCGTCTTTAAAGGTTGTTGCTGTTCTTTCAAAGATAATGCTTATTAAAAGATTTTGTTATTTATGGAGTCACGAGGTGATTTCCGTTCTGGTATACATGCGCATTTCCCCATTGACTCTGCAGGCCACATCTATTATGAAGAGACTGGAGGCTGAGAGTCAACAGGGGGCTCCTACCTCCTCTGATGGCCAAGGGTGAGGAAGTTTTTGAGCATAAAGAAGTCTGTGCCCATTTCTCATTGGATTTCAATATGGCAAGTCCATCATGTTTTCCTTTCTCCACCCCAACCTCCGTCAAGTTATTGATCTTTCTGCAGTGGGTCTTTGTTACACCATCTGCTATATTAGCTGAGGCAGAAACGCTATTAAGGAAAGGGATGAGGTGGAAGTGATGCCCATTTTGAGCCAGCAAGCCAGACAGGCAGGCCTGGCCAACTCCGGTGACCAGGAGGACTGCTCAGGCTCACGGTGTGTATGTGTGTGCATGGAAGAAGGAAGTGAGCACCAGCCAGCGATATGTCTATATCCTCTCATTCTCTCTCCCATCCTGGAAGGCTCTCACTTGCATTTGGACACCTGGCCAGATAACCCCTGAAGTAGCACAAACCTTTCAGTCAGGCATCTGGTAATGTTCTGAACTGTGATCACTGGCATCAGAAACAACTGTGGTTTTGAGGGATCTGAATTCCGTTTTTCTTCCTGGAGGGCTACAATTCACTGAATTCCTGAAGTCAGTATCTCAACCTCTCACTTACCTTTCAAGGCTCAAGGCCTACATTGGCTTCTTGCCAATTTTAAGCAATGAGACAGTGAATCTGTGTAAATGAGACAGCTTAGCAGAGGAAAAAGAGCTGGCCTTGGAGTTAGGAAGATTGATGTTCAAAGCCCACAGCTTTCACAAGGCCTGAAAACCTCTCTGAGGTTAGGGTGACACTTTAGGAGCTATTAGCTAAACTATAGGTCCTTGTGACATACCCAGGTGATGGGAACAGAATGAAGTATAAAACCCCAGGGGACAGAATCTTAGAATTCCTCTAGGTAACTGGTTCTTAAGCTTGTGTGTGTGTGTCCTGGGCCACTCTAGCAATCTACAGTGCCCTTTGCAGAAGAAGACTTTTGAAGACAGAAAACAAAGTGTATAGGGTTACAAAGGAAAGCAAAGTGGGAAGAATTAGGGTAGGTAGATGGCAGAGTGGATAGAGAACTAGGCCTGGAGTCAAGAAGACATAAATTTGAAGTGAATCTCAGATACTTACTAGCTGTATGAACTTAGAAAAGTCACTTAATTTATGTTTGCCTCAATTTACTCAACTGTAAAATGAGGATAAGAATAGTACCTACCTCCCTGGGTTTCTGGGAGGACCAAATGAGATATTTATGAAGTGTTTAGTCTAGTTCCTGGTACATGCTATATAAATGCTAGCTATTTTTATTATTAAATGCAGCACTCTCCCTCTCCACATATATGTGTACATAATAAATATATATACATACGTGTATATATATACATATACATACACACAATATATACATGTACATACATACATATATGTTATATGTGTTTATATATATATATATATATAAAGAATCTTCCTTATGTTCATAGAGCTAATTGGTAGAGATAGTATGGCGCTAAAAGTTATATCTCCTGACTCTCATTTAACTACACTAATGGTCAAGAAAAAACAAGCCATGCCCAGAAAGGTGTTTGTTTTCATTGAGGAAACACTTTGGTACATTCTATCTTGTAAAATCTCATTTGGTTTCCTAGGAGCTGGTGACAAGCTCTATCCCCAACCTAGCTAACAGCTCTGTTTCTATTTGTAAGAGGAGAGATACAGCCTGGGGGGTGTTGGGGGTGTGGGGGTGTTGTATTTTGTAATTGTCATGACCTTGCTACAAATAGTGAATTGCATGAGGACGTGGTGGGTGCCTGTCAGGGGTTGGTTAATTTAATCCAACTGCAGTGACAGGCCAGTGGAAAGCATGAGTCTGGGGGCTTGGTCAGAGCTTGAGCCAGAACCAGGATAGGGGATAAAATCCAGGGGGGAAGAAATAGGACATACCAGACCTAGGGAATGATGCAAAAGGGAGTAATCAAGGCATCTTGGAGTTGGAGAGAGCACATTCGGGCACGGCTGGGGTGGGGGCAGAGTTAGAACGTATTTAGATTGGTCCTTAGCAGAAAATGAGCCAGAGATTTGGCAACCAAATACAAAGTAAATCATCAGAAATACTGGGCAATAGTCAGAAACCCAGAGAGCCAGAGGAGCTCAAGAGCAAAGTCCAAAGGAAGAGATCATGGCAGAAGCAATTCATTGAAGGGGATATCTAAGCTAGAGAAGACTTGGGGCATGTGTTTTAAGTGAAGAGGTAGACAGCTGGCTCAAAGTGTTTGAATGAATGTTGTATATAGAGATTCTCATTGTTCCACTTGGCCCCAGAGGGCAGAATTATGACCGTGAAGAGGCAAAATTAGTACAAATGTCAGTTAAAAAAATAATTCTAATGATTTAAATGGGCTTTGAATAGAATGGGCTGTTATAAGATAGTGAGCTCCCTATCACTGGAAATATTCGAAAAAGAAATTGATGACTGAGGCAAGAGGTTTTTGCATGTTTTTATTAGGACCAGTGTCAATCACCAAGCCAATCATCAAGATATGGCCTGGAGGAGGAAGAAGGAGCAGAGAGAAAGGCAGTGACTGGTAGCCAGTAGGTCACCCAATCAGACTTTGGTGACTCCCAGAGTAAGGAAGAAGGGTACCCATCTAAGTGTGCAGGGATTTATTTTATGAGCTGCTCTGTGCTTTTTATTTGATTAGTCCTAGCAGGCTGTCTGAGGTGAAGAAGTTAAGCAGTTTACCCAGGCTCACACCATGGAAAGGGGCAGTGTGAAACTGGTTTTCCCAGGCTCCATTCCAAATCCATCAGTTTAGTTGTGATGGCCTGCTGACTCTTTAGATCTAGCCTAGCTTCTCTCCTCCTGCTCCTCCCCCTCCTCCTCCTCCTTCCCTTCCTCCTCCTCCTCTTCCTCTTTTGCTCTTTCTCTATCTCTGTCTGTACTTCTCTACCTCTCTCTTCATCTGCCTTTCTGTGTCTCTGTCTCTTTTTTCTATATCTTTATGTGTCTGATTGTCTCTGTCTCTCTACAAGTATCTAACTCTGTCTTCATTTCTCTGTGTATCTGTCTCCATCTCTATCTCTCTATCTTGTTCTCTGTCTCTGTTTCTGTCTCTCTCCCTCTCTCTCTCTCCTCCTCTATCTTTAGCTCTCTACTCACACAATACCTGATATTTATTAGCCCAAAATAAATCAGTTCAAGTAAACAAAATTCTATTAATCACCCGCCTTATATCAGTCACTGGGTAAGGTGCTAAGTATACAAAGATAAAACCTCCCCTGTTCCCAAGGACCTCATATACTAACATGCATACAGCACAGATAATTAAATAGAAGAGATTTGAGGAATGAGAGAGAACTCACTCCCGGAGAGTGTGAGGGGGTGGATCAAGGAAAGCTTTGTGAAGGAGGGAGAACCTGAGCTGGGTCTTGAGGGAATAAAGTCATTCAGAAGTTTAGTGATGAGGATGGAGGGCATTGAAGGCAGGGAGAGAAATAGCACATGTGAGGGCTCAGAAACACAAGAAGCAAAATCGGTTTCTGGTGGGAGCTACATGTTTGGTTTAGCAGAAACTTAGAGAGTTTGAAGGAAAATGATGTGCTATGAAAGCAGAAGTTAGGAAACAGATTACAGAAAGGCCTTAGTGTCAAGCTAAGGCATTTATATTTATATTGCATGGTAGGGGCAGCAGAGGCTACTGCAGGTTTGGGAAGAGGGAAGACATGTCATAGGAAGACATAGCTCACTGTCTCTTAGGAAACCTATTTCAGTAGGCATGTGGAGAGTGACTTGGGAGAGGGGAATCACTGGAGAAGGGACTCTAGTTCTGGTAATGCCTGATAAGGGCCAGCAGCAGGGTGGGGCTGGGTGTTCTGAGAGAAAAGGGAAGACATAATATCTATTATCAATTTGGATCTTGAAGGGCTCTTAAATGTCATCAGTCCAACCCTCTTATGTTTTACAGATAAAAAAAACAGAGACACAGGGAAGTTAAGTGACTTGTCCAGGGTCACACAGGTGATTCGCTTTAGGCTGGAGATTTTAACCCAAATTGCTTACCTCCGGAGCTAGGGAGCTCTCCAACGTATTACACAGTCTCCCACTGTTGGGGTAGATGTGACAGGATTTGACAAAATATTGAACTAAGAAATGATTGAAAAAAAAATAGGAAGACCCCCACCATCAGTAGTTAGTGAGGATTTGAACAAGAGAGGATTCACCACAACAGTTAAAAACTACTGGTATATTATAGAGAAAAGAATCTGGCTCAGTTCAGATTCACACAAGGTGACCTTTACGATGAACAATAATAATGACAATAACAATAATAATTTAATTAAATATGATATGTTAAAATATTTTGAAAGCATAGCAGTAATAATAATCAGTAAACTTAAAAATACTTTAAATTAAACATTGCATACATAGATACATACACATGCACACATATACATATATACATTTTCTCTTTTGAATTTGACAACACCCCAATTAAGCTTCAGGGACCCAGGATTTCCTTTTGGTTTCAACACACCATTAATTTCTAAGAGACAGAATATGATGCCATCTGTGAAGAGTGCCCAAGAAGAGCCTAGTATTCAGAGATAAAATGTAGGGATCCATTGTCCTGGTTCCAGATTGTCTGAACTTCTTTCCTTTCAGCCAGGGGCAATTGAAACGGCCAGACAAGACTTAAAGAACCATGTGGACGAGACGATGGGTGAAGCCATTCAAGGTTTCTGGCTCTTGACAGAGTAAGTAGCTGCCTAGATAGGCCTTGGGCAGTTGGGGTTTTTAGGGCCTAAGATGGAGCTCCTCCAGGCCTGCTTTCCTGTCCCCTTGCTCAGCAGTCCTCCCCCTTCTTTCTCTGCCACCTCTTTCTCCCTCTCCTCACTCTCTCTTCTCCCTTTCTTCCTTCTCTCCCCCTTCCCTTTCTCGTTATCTCCTCAAATTGTCAATTATCACATACATTCTCTGTTTACATGCCATAGCTGGAAACTCTATGTGTGTAGGGACATGCACAATTTTATCACTGCACACCCAAAGCCCCAAACAGGTCATGGCATATAGTAGATTTTTAGCAATGCTTATTGCATTGGCTAGGATTGGATGTCAAGGAATTTGGAGTAAATGTCAGTATTGGGTGGGAGGGAGGAAAGCAATAAATACTGTTACTACTGATTATAATAATAATAACTATTGGTTGATGGTTTAAAGATACTTTTCAGACATTATCTTGTTTCACCCTCACAGCAGCTCTGTAGGCTGCTATTATTAAGTTTATTTTACAGGTGAGAAAACTGAGATCCAGAGCTATTAAATGATCTTCCCACAGTCATACAGCTAGTCCACATCTAAGGCAGGATTTAAGTCTTGCCCTTCCTGACTTCAAGGCCAATGTTAGGATAGGCTACATTAGGCTAAGCTAACTCCACTCTCCTAAAGATTCATTCCCTTTATTTAGTAAAGAAACTTCTTGATTGAATCAAGGTTCAGACCTAGCTGTGAACTCAGGTTCATAACTGAGGAGAGATTTCAAGGGTCTAACGGAGAGGAAGAAGGGTTGCGGGGTTGAGGTGGGGCATCAAGAGCTAAGCCAGAAAGAACCTGCAAGCTGGGGCAATCATGAAAGCAGAAAGAGAGGGTGGGACTGAGTTATGGCAGAAAAGAGAAAGACTGAAGAGAGCCAGTAGCTCTACAGACAACTCTAGGCAGAAGACTCGGGTGAAACCCCCCAGTTGAACCCACCTCCTCAAGGGCTGAGGGGCAATTCAAGACAAGGCCTGTTTTTCCCCCAGCTTCCCCTTAGTGCCTCTGTATTACCTTCTTTTTTTCCTAACATTTTTGGTAACCTGAATTTTTCCTCAACCAGAAACCAAGGTATCAGAGAAAAAAAAAAAAAAGGGAAACTGGGGAAGAGAGAGAGAGAGAGAGAGAGAGAGAGAGAGAGAGAGAGAGAGATAGTCAGTCAATCCTCTGTCTAAATGTCAGGAATTTTCTAAATGGAGACTCAGAGCACTCTATGAAACTTTTTTTTTTTTAAATATGAGCTCTCTAAAGCAGTAGAGAAATGAACTACGTGAACCTCATGTGGCATCTTGTTGACATCAGATTTAACATGAATTAATTATTTTAACCAGCCTGCTCTTGGGGAAGAGAAATGCATGCCCAATCCAAGTATTTTTGCTCTTGCACTTTTTTGAGAGATGGGGCATGGGTAGTGGTGGTTATGAGATTAATAGTTCTCAGTAACCAGTGATTAATTCAAAGAGGCAAAGACAGCAAATGAACAAAACACCCTCCTCTTTTGAATGAACCTTGTAGCAGACTGACTATGGCCTCTTCCTTTATAGTTCTGGCATCAATCATATTCCAGAAGCTTGGTCCCTGATAAGACAATCTTGGCTCAGTGTGTGCTGGTTCTCAGAAATGAATGACTTACAGGGTCACAAGGAATGGGATGCACTTATATGGAGAAAAGGACTGCCATGATATTTGGAGGTAGCCTTTCTGCATCCCCTTTCTTTCAAATATCTGTCTTTATAAAAAACCCTATTCAATTGTGTTTCTACAGAGACCCCACAGAGGTCAATGAACTGATATCCATTGATTTCTCTATGGTTAGAGTAATCTGGAACCTGCAAAGTCCCTTGTTCAGAGTGTTAAATCTAGAACAGACCTTAGAGACCACCTATTGAAGCCACCTCATTTGACAGTTGAAGAAACTGAGGTAAAGAGAAAGGAAAAAAACTTGAACAAGTTGCAAAGATCATAATTACTTCTATCCTCAGCTCTCCCAGAATTTGACTGCATGGCAAGGGACAAGTCATTTCCCCTCACTGGGCTTCAAATGCCTCATCAGTAGGGAAACTATGCTAGACAATTTCTAAGATCTCATCTTACTCCAGAGAACTGGGATCTGTGATCCAGAATTTAGGCTTTCTCCAAATCTAATTTAGTGATTTGTCAATTACTTGGATGCTCTCTTTAGCTCCCTCGAGCTCTGATCAACTCACCTTTATGGAAAAGCAAGGACACAAAACAGGGACGAGGCAGAGGGAAGAAATGATAATGAAACACTAATTCTAATTCCCCCAATTCCGAAGCTGTCATAACTATAATGCAGATAGAGCAGGTTGAGCCTTACTGAATATGTCAATATGTCAAGTACCTGTGGATTTCATCTGAATGGGAGTTCAAAAGAAGATCTTTCTCTGTGAATTTCTTATAAGTAAGAAGAATTTTGCCTGAAATAAGTAGTATTTTCAAATGAAGGGCTCAAAGCATTAAGGATACTTTTACCAGCTGGAGCCAGCAGATCAGTATTGCATGCTAAAAGACATTCACGAATACAATACATTATTATGTAACACAGGTCTTTGAGTTATACTTTTTTTTTATTAACTCCATTTTAATTATTACAACTCACATTTAGACAGGATGCTTTCAGATTTACAAGGCATTTCCCCCACAGCAACCTCATTAGGGTGTGATGTAAATATTATTGCCCCTACTTTACAAAAGGAGAAACTGAGAATCAGAGAGATCACGCCATTTAATTCTGCTCCCACAGATGGTAAGCTCTGTGGGATCTTGGGAGTTAGAGCATATTCCCACTCTTCCCCTTCGTCATTGGACAGATAAGAAACTGAGGCTCAGAGAGTAGATGTGACCTGGAGGTCACAGTGGTACTACAGAACAAGACCCGAATTTGAAGATAATTTATCAAGCTCCAAGTCAAGGGCTCTTGCCGCCACACCACAGTTGAACCTTAGTCTCATGACTACAAGTCCTTCCTCTTTCCCATCATACTTCATTTCCCCCAAATAGTAGAAAACAAAGAATACCCAAACTACCAACAGATTGTCTTCTTAAAGTTCATTTTATAATACATGCATACACACACATATTCCCAACTTGGAAAGCATTTTCCCATGTGAACTGAATACGATGATCACATTCTCAGGCTTACCCCAGAAACTTAGTTGATGTATAAAGCAAATGAATGAGTCCGTCATAAATAAGGATTTATTGTAGCCTAATATGTGCCAAGTTTTTGTTTGTTTGTTTGCTGTTGTTGTTTAATCATTTTTCAGTCATGTCCAGCTCTTCATGACCCCTTTGGGGTCTTTCTTGGCAAAGATACTGACGAAGGTTGCCATTTCTTTCTCCAGTTTAATTTTACAAATGAGAAAACTGAGGCTAAAGAAGGTTAAGTGATCTGCCCAGGGTCACATAGCCAGTTAGTGTCTGAGGCCAGATTTGAACCTAGGTCTTCCTGACTCCAGGACCAGCACTCTATCGACTGTGGCACCTAGCTGTCCAGTTATGGTGGAGAAAGTAACCAAGGAAAGGGAGGGGCATATTCAATAGATGTTACTAAAGGTTAATTTGACAGGTCTGGGAATCAGAGTGGATTAAGGGGGGAGATAATGAGGAATCCATGATCGCTCACAGGTTGTGAGCCTGAGGGACTAATAGGGGTGTGTTGCCATCTATAGTAATAGGAAGGGTGGAAGAGGAGGAGGGTTTGGGGGAAAGATGTTGAGTACAGTTTTGGACATATTGAGTTTCAGATATCTACTGGACATCTGGCTCAAGATGTCTGCAAGGCAGTGAGAGATGTGAGTTTGGAGGTCAGCAGAAAGTTTGAAGGTTTGAAAATTGTCTGTATATAGATGGTAATTAAATCCATGGGAACTGATGAGATTGTCAAGTGAAGTAGCATAGAAGAAGAAGAGAAGAGGGCAGGCCACACCCCTGAGGCACACCTGTAATTGGTGGTGGGGGGGGGATCTGGAAGATACAAATACAAATAAAAAGAAAAACCACCTCTGCCCTCAAGGAGCTCACATTCAAATAATGTAGAAATGAGTGAAGGTACCCCACATAGACATGATTGTGAAGTCCCTGGAGGGGACTGAAGACAGTTTGGCCTGAGCCTGAAATAAAATGGAGACCTATGAGGAAATTACAAATAGGAGAAGACTGGTAGGACTTGCGAAGGGATATTCCATGGTGTGTGGATTATGGTAGGCCCATTGACACAGGGTAAAGAGGCCCCAGGCAGGGAAAGAAGCTCTGGCACTAACCAACAGCAGAGAGAGAAAGATCTCAAAGTCCAACAAAGTCAGGAGCAGAGTCAGGAGGGGAGTGAAGAGATAAGTCACATCCCTTCTTTGGACATCATTTTCCACATCTTTAAAATGATACATTTGCATTCAGTAATTTCTGAGGTCTCTTCCAATTATACATCTTATCATGTGAAATTTGGAGACTGCTTCTGCAATAAGAAACCCTCTGAGATGAGGGGAGCTGTGATGTTCCCACATTGCCACTGAGATGGGCCTTGTACAGAATGATTACCCACCTAGAGGAAGCTGGATCACGAAGAGATGTGCCAGCTGGAGTTACGGTTAGGAATGGAAATAAGGTCAATTAGAGTCAGTGCTCTTGCACCAAGACATTTGGGACATACTTTGGAACCTCAAAATCATTAAATGGCATTTGTTTAAAATGAAGTCCATATATCTGATTTTTCCCTTCTTCTTTCTAATAAAGATTTTTTTTAATACAGAGAAAAGTAGATATTGAGATTTTTTTGAGTAGTTTCATTGTGAAAGACATTAGAAAGAAATGTTCTTTGAAGAGAGTCAGTATATGGAGAGAATTAAAACCCTGGCCTCAGAATTCAGAAAATCTGGGTTCAGATCCCCTCTTAGACTACCTAACCAAGCACATTGAAATCTCTTGA